AGGGTTTTTCTCCTGTGTGGATCCGTTTATGAGAAGTGAGAGAACTCTTTACACTGAAGCTCTTTCCACACTCCATGCATTCATAGGGTTTTTCTCCCGTGTGGATCCGTTTATGGGAAACAAGCTCACCGCTTTGGGTAAAGCCCCTCCCACAGTCTAGGCACTTATAGGGTTTTTCTCCAGTGTGGATCCGTGTATGACAATTAAGAGCACCGCTTCCCCTGAAGCTCTTTCCACACTCCATGCACTTAAAGGGTTTTTCTCCTGTATGTATCCTTTGATGGGACGTAAGGGAACACGTCGTTCTGAACCTTTCCCCACAATCCACACATTTATAAGGTTTTTCTCCCGAATGGATCCTTCTATGGCACATCAGATAATTACTAGTTGAGAAGCCCTTCCCACATTCTAGGCATTTATGGGGTTTTTCTCCTGTGTGGGTCCTTTTATGGGAAGTAAGAGAATACTTCACACTGAACCTTTGTCCGCAATCCGCACATTTGTAAGGTTTTCTCCCTGTATGGATCCTTTTGTGCAATATCAGATAACTACTGCTGCTGAAACTCTTCCAACACTGTGTGCATTTATAGGGTTTTTCTCCTGTGTGGACCCGTTTATGAGAAGTGAGAGAACTCTTTACACTGAAGCTTTTTCCACACTCCATGCATTTAAAGGGTTTCTCTCCTGTGTGGATCCGTTTATGGGAAGCCAGGCTACTGCTCTGGCCGAAGCCCTTCCCACAGTCTAGGCATTTATAAGGTTTTTCTCCTGTGTGGATCCGTTTATGACAATTAAGTGCACTGCTTCCCCTGAAGCTCTTTCCACACTCCATGCATTTATAGGGTTTTTCTCCGGTATGTATCCTTTGATGGGATGTCAGGGTACACTTCATACTGAACCTTTTCCCACAATCCACACATTTGTAAGGTTTTTCCCTTGAATGGATCCTTCTATGGCACATCAGATAATTACTACTTTTGAAGCTCTTCCCACATTCTACGCATTTAAAGGGTTTTTCATCACTATGTATCCTTTGATGGGAAGTAAGGGAATACTTCCTGCTGAACCTTTTCCCACAATCCCCACATTTATAAGGTTTTTCCCCTGAATGGATCCTTTTATGGCACATTAGGTCACTACTAATTCTGAAGCTCGTCCCACATTCTATACATTTATACAGTTTTTCTCCAGTATGTATCCTTTTATGAGAAGTAAGGGAATTCTTCCGGCTGAACCTTTGTCCACAATCCACACATTTATGGATCTTTTTATTAGGAGTTAAATTACCTCTTCTGCCAATGCTTTTTCCACACTCCACATTGTTATAGGGCTTCTCCCTTGCCTGTTTCATTTTATGGGACGTAAGATTACTACTGCTGGAGCTTTTTCCAGTTTTGCAGTGGTTACTAACTTTGGGGTTTGCTTTGAATCTTTTTCTACTTTGACATTTCCCCGTATTTGCTTTGGAATCACGTTGGGTCAGGAAACGATCCATTTCCACACATTCAAGAATAGATTTTTCTTTCTAATTGTGCTTCTTTTCAGGTTTCCTTCTTCCTCACTTATTTGTAGATGTCTCCCCAGGAATTTCAGCTTTGATTATTTGCAATGGCAATAAATCTGGCTCTTGGGCATTTTCCTTCTTCTGCACATCAAATGCTTGTGGGGAGAAGAAAAATAAATTAGAGTAATTTTAAATATTAGAATAACTATCCACTTTGGTGTCCCTATGCATAGATTTATGTGCTACTGGACATCTTCGGAGAAAGAAACGAAGGAAACGACAGCATGAATATTAGTTATTAACTTAAAAAACTAGCATAGCTGCTGATCTAACCCTTATTCTTGGCAGTTAAAAATTTAAAGCAAAAACACGTCTTGACATCAGGACGAGGCATACAAATTGTCTCAACTATGTCCCACCCTACTTGCACTCAATAAGACAATATATGTCATTGCAACCCAAAGCAAGACAAAATTTGTTGCCAAGTAGAAAAACTGCAATAGGCAAAAACATCCTCTCCCTGAACATCTTCCCAATAACTCTTCAGTAATGACCCAGGGCCCCAGGATGATCACAAGACTGAATGTCAACCCTTCTTAGTCACCACTGATCTCTTTCTGTTAAATGAAACTGTGCTACTTAGAAAACCATGAAGGAGGAGTGGAATTAATGTAAGAGGAAAAAAGAAGAGATGAAATCATTTTTAACAAGTTACATATAAAGGAACGCTTACCTAAAGAGGCCACGATCCTAGACGTTTCCAACATGACTTCTTGATACAGGGTTTTCTGGCTGGGATCAAGCAGCAACCACTCTTCACTGTTGAAATGGATGGCCACCTCCCCAAAGGACACAGGTCCCTAAACAATAGAATAGAATTCTTTATTGGCCAAGTGTGATTGGACACACAAGGAATTTGTCTTGGTGCAAATGCTCTCAGTGTACATAAAAGAAAAGAGACATTCATCAAGAATCGTAAGGTACAACACATAATAATAATCATAGGGTACAATAATAAGCAATCAAATCATACTAGGAAACAGTCAATCGTAAGGATACAAGCGACAAAGTTACAGTCATACAGTCACAAGTGGAAGTGGATGGGTAATAAGGACTGGTGAGAAGATTAACAGTAATAGTAATGCAGAAGGAAGAATCCCTGTGAATAGACTCGATAGAATTTGCAAGCTCTCCTTCAATCTGCAAATCCTAAAAGCACAAATGTCTATGGAGATTCTCAATCATCCATGGTCACATTTGTCCCGAAGGTGCTTTTTTCAAGTATTAACTGGACTTTCTGCTTTTTCTTTGAAGACGTTTCGCTTCTTATCCAAGAGGTTTCTTCAACAACCAGAAAGTTCAGTTGCCTCTTGAAAAAGCACCTTTGGGACAAACGTGACCATGGATGATTGAGAATCTCCATAGACATTTGTGCTTTTAGGATTTGCAGATTGAAGGAGAGCATTTCCCTTGATTGGCATTTCCCTAGGTGGAAACAAAACATTATATGATAAAAAAGACATAATTCATAGTTTACGGCTGACAGCCAATTAGGGCATATTTTATCACCTTGACAGACACTGCTGACATTATCATCAACCCGGTTTGATCAAGTAGCATAGCGTGCCTTAGACACATCATCTACCAGTTGCCCCAACATTTCATCATGTTTGCAATTGTCCCTCCCTTTTTCTCTCATTTCTCTCTTCCTCCTTCCCATTTCTGTTTTTCTCTTTCCTCTTTTCTCTCTCCCCATTCTCTTGTTTCTCTTTTTCTTTTCTCACCTTCTTCCTCCATCATTTTCTCATTTCCCTTCCTCCACTTTTCTCTCTCATTTCCCTCCCTCCCATTTATTTTTATTTTTCGCCTCCCTCTTTTCTTTCTCTCCCATTCTCTCATTTCTCTTTTTCTTCTCTCATCATCTCCCTCCATCCTTTCCTCATTTCTCTTTCTTTCTTATCTTTCACATGATGCCCGCAGCCACACCTACCCAGGTTTTGTTGCTCCCAGTGTTTTCTGTGGGAAATGGGTCTCTTTCCCTCCCTCCTTTTCTCTCTCTCATTTCTGTCCTTCCCTCCCATTTCTGTTTTTCTTTTTCCTCTCCCTCTCTTTCTTTTCTTTCTTCCTTTCTCCCTGAAAACGCCTTTGAAAGTTGCTGAGCCTTTGAGGAAGCTTGGCAGTGCTGGGTCAGTATGGGGGGCGGAGTTGAGGCATTAGGGTTGTTCCCCGCAACTCTGCAAGCCGGGGCTGAAGGAGCATATGCTGTGGCTTCCCTAAAGATGACCTCACACAACCCCCTGGCTGGTTTTTCATTGCCAGGACGGCACACACGAGTCAGGATACCCTCCTCAAGCAAGCAGAGTGATGATTGTAGAGTCCTCTGGGGAAGCTTTAAATCTGCCTGGGAACACAGTACTAATCAAATAGTCCTTGCGATTCTTTAAAGGGTCAGCCTTGCTCACACTCATTTCAATTTAACCTTTTTGTTAGTTTATCAAAGTATACAAAGAAAACAAAACCATGGAAAAGCAAGAAGGGAAAAAGAGGTAAGGATATGGTCAGCAGCTGGCACCCCCGGAGAATCTCCTCTCCCTGGACTGTCGTTTTTCCAACTTAACAACAGGAAAAGCAGGCTTCCTTTTGTCTGTTTGACTTTCTGAGGTTAAGGAAAGTGCCGGAATCATCCTTCAAGATACTCCAATAACAGAAACAACCTGCAAGTAGTTTTAGAAGCCGAGCTTCCAAGATAACTGGTGGGCTGAAGCTGAGAGGCAGGGTCGAAACCACATCGTTATTGGACAAAAGAGCCATTTTGGCATTTATTTTTCAAACGGATAATAAGCTGTGTCCTTCATTTCTTAAACAATTTATAACACTATTACGTTTACAAGCTATAGATGCTCTCTTTAGTTACAGCTTACCACCCATTTTTGAAATTTTGAACGCTATTTTTGACATTTCTTCTTTATTATAAAACAGGGAGTGGATGGCTAGAGGCAACCAAAATAAGGAAATATGGAATATTCTTATTTTGAAATATAAGGATAAAACCTGTCATTTTAAATTACTACCATGTTTCCTTGAAAATAAGACCCAATCTTATAATTTTTAGGTCACCATAATAAGCACAAGGGCTTATTTTCGGGGAGGTCTTATTTTTTCCACGGTCGCAACGGACAAAGTGAGGTGGGGGGGACGACGTACAAAGCTTCTTCTCCCTTCTCACCGCCACAACAAAGCAGGATGCTAACTGATGCGCCGATGCTGTGGCCACTAACTGAGGCGATGGGAGGATGGAGGATGAAGTCCCAACAGTATCCTTGGCAGCCTGGCCTGCAGAGCCATGATGCTGGCAGTGAGGCAACGGCAGTCAGAGCAGCCCCTTCCTCATGTAACCCAGTGGCACTGGCCAGCAGTGCACCACCTGCCACTACTCATGTTCCGCCACCATTTCCCTGGAGCTCTTGGGGGGTGGGGTTCACTTGCCACCTGCTTTCCAGCTTCTGCCCAGCTCTCCTCGCTTCCCCGAAGCATCCTTTCACTAACCGGCTTTCTAGCTCCATTCTCCACCGCCGCATACAGGGCAACAGAAGAAGGCTGTGAGACTAGTGGTAAAAAAGTTCAATGAGACCTTCCAATTTCACAAGATTTTTTTTTCCCTGAGAAGTTGGAAGGTTTGATTTTTTTTTAAGTCCCACAAACTTCCTTTGTTGCTCTGCACGTGGCGGCCGAGAACAGAGCTGGAAACCAGGTTAGTGAAGGAATTGTGGTTGCTCTGGGGTTGGAATGGTGGGTGCAAAATCCTAACTCCCACCCCACCCCAGAGCAATCATAATGCAAAATCCTGACCCTCCACCCCATCCCAGAGCAATCATATTTTTTACCTTTTTACTTTTATTTTACTTTTAAAATAATTAGTTGCTCTGTACTGTTTTATTGTGGGTGGTTGAAATCTGCTGATATTTAAGGGTTCAGATTGGATGAGAAATGAAGAAATAATTAAATGAATAAAGAAATAAATAGTCTCTGAACACTAGAGGGAACCACTAAACTGGTGTCAGTTATAAAATAGATTCTTGATCAGTCCTTGGAGAAGATTCATCATTTTGAGAATCAACCAAAATATATTAATCCTATAGGTGACATTAAAATAAAACAAGAAACATAGCTAGGTGTAGAAAATGTAGAAAATTATCAACTTACTGTGTCAACTTTACAAATACCGGATAATGCAAACAACTTAACTGTAACCTCAGAATATAAAACTGACTTCATCTAACACCTGGCTAGATAGTAATATTACTTTAATTCCAAAAGAAGACTCAGACTTGACACAGATAAAGAACTATGGGCCTATATCATTATTAAATGCTGATTATAAAATTTTTGCATCAATAATGGCAGAGAAATTAAAAAGATTTCCGAATGAAATTATCCACCCAGATCAAAATGGGTTCCTTCCAAAAAGAAAAATTAAAAACAATGTAAGAAATGGCGCTGATCTTTTTAGATGTATAGAAAGCCTTTCACAATTTAAATTGGCAATTTATGATACAACAGTTAGAATACATGGAATTTGGCAAGAACTTTATAAAAATGATTAAGACAATATATTGTAAGCAAATAGTAAAAGTAATGGTCAATGGGGACTTAACGGAGAATTTTAATATAAGAAAGGGTACAAGACAAGGATGTCCATTGTCCACATTGGTATTTATACTAACATTGGAAGTGTTAAATAGAAATATTAGATAAGACTTAGAAATTAAAGGTATGGAAATAAAAAGGGAAAATACAAATTACAAGTATTCGCAGATGACAGTATTTATTTTAGAAGAACCATTGGAAACGGGACCTAAGAATGGGAATAATAGAAGAATATGGGAAAGTTGCAGGATTGAAAATAAACAAAGATAAAACTAAAATCTTAGTTAAAAATCTCATAGAAAACAGAAGAGAGAATTGAGAGAGAGATTAGATTTACAGATAATTAAGATAAACACTTGGGAATATACTTAACAGCAAGATGTGTTACAATCAAGATGTAAGACTGTTACAACAAATTTAAAAAAGATTTAGATAAATGGAAAATTTTGCAGCTATCAATGGTAGGGAGAATAGCAACTATAAAAATGAACATCTTGCATCTTACAATTCCTGTTCCAAACAGTCCCAATAAAACTAGAAAAAAAAAATACTTTGATGAATTAAATATTATAATTTTGAAATATGTCTGGTGAGGGAATAAACCAAGAATAGAACTGAAAATGTTGCAACAGTCCAAAAACAATGGGGGCTTTGGACCAGATTGGGAGCTCTATTACCATGCAGCTCATGGGTGAGGGAATGGATAACTTTTAAGACATAACAGATTACTGCTTTCAGAAGGCCGTGATCACCAATTAGGATGGCATGCTTTCAAGGACACTATATAAGAAATGCTCAACTTTCAGTGTGGGAAAAGGCGAAAGAAAAAATTTGCATTGAAATTCCAGTTTGAGTCTCAACAATGGAAGCATTGCTACTTCCAAATGTAGTAAATCTGTAGTTTAAAAAAAAAACTTATAAAGATATTTTAAATGTGGAATTTAAACCGAACAAGAGTTACAAAATTAAGATGTGGACTTATCATGGTGGCCGCATATGCAAATAAAATCGAGATATGAGAAAGATATTAAGGATTATGGCTTCTATAAAGTGCCTACAATATTTGAACAAATAATGTTAGTAGATGAAAAGTTGATAAAGAAAATATACAATTTTTGTTAAGCTTAAAAATGGAAGATGACAATGATAGTATGGGCAAAAAACTTTGGCTATACTATAGATTTAGACAAATGGCAAAAGCTTTGGTAAAGACTGTAAGTTGACAATGGCAACTACATATAAGGAAAATTTATATAAAATGTTTTATAGGTGGCATCTACCACCGGCAAGATGAGAAAAGATGGTTAGAAGCATATCCTCCCAACATTGGAAATGTAACCAGACTTTGGGGACGTATTATCATATGTGGTAGACAGGTGTAAAAGCAAAGAAATATTGAACAAAACTTCATAAGTTTGGACTTAAAACAACACATACGATTTTAAGCCAGAAATATTTTGCTAGGCATAATACCGGAAAAATATGGCAAAGGGAACCTATATTTAATATTAAATGTCTTGACGGCAGCAAGAATTGTATTTGCGCAGTACTGGAAACATAAGGAAACTCCTACAGAGGATGATGTAATTAAAACAAAATTTAGATTGTGCAGAAATGGATAGACTGACACTAAAAATAAAAATTTCAATGAGGAAACATTTAATTGGGGAAGATTTATTTCAAACCAATTTACAACATCTAATAGAACAACTTTTAGACTTCTTTTATGGGTATTAAAAAAAACAGAGAATTTCTTTAGGAAATGAGACTTGATAGATTCTCCCAAGAAGAAAAAGATTCTATTCTATGAAGATAAGCCGAAGGGAGTGACTTAAATATGGTTTAATTAATTAGGATGGATTTTTTTTTTAAAAAAAATGATATATGTACTGTTAGAAAGCTTTAAGTTAGTTTTGTATTTTTAAAATGAATATGTAAGTATACACAGGTCTGCCGGTTCTTTAAGTAATGCTGAACAATATTTTAAAGTTGGTAAAATATTATGGATTAGATTTGAAAATATGAGAATGAATGATCTATTATTTCCCGCAGCAAGGAAGAGCTGAGATGGTAAAAATGATTTTTTTCTACAAATGTTCTGACCCAGCCGAATTCCCCGAGAACAAACACAGATAAACTCAGTAACTCAAACTTTCATGGCTTTAATCTACAAATAAACCTCTTTGTAGATAACAGATGGCTTGCAGCCAATTAGTCCAACAAGAAAAATCTTGGCAGAAGTCCTCAAATAAACCAGAGTCTTGAATCACAACACTGAGTCCTTCCAACGTTTTTGCCTTTTGCAAAGGCAAAAACCGTTTGAAACCAGGCTTATATTCCCTGGAAGGAAGGGCCATTATGTTGCATCCTTACTCCTGAGTCGTCTGTACAGCTTCAGCTGTTCTCTTCTACAAATCATCCTGCGCTCACACGCACATAGCACAGGCTCTTCTGGAACCTCATCACTGCTGCCAGCCCCCACCATCCCTGAAGGCAGCAGTCCACTCCCTGATGGTCCCGGCCCCTCCTCCGAGTCCTTGCTCTCCTCCACCATTTGCACCTGCTGCCGGCTAACCACAACACCAAATAAGAGATCATATTTAATTCTGTCTCTAGCTTGAAATTGCTTCCTGATTTTCTGTTTGCAATGAGAAAAAAAATGAAACTTTGATTCTGTTTTTGTAAACTAAACAAGCTTATTATTATAGAAATAATTTGTACATACTGTAAAAGCAAAACATTGCGGTTGGAATGCTGTTACCTTTGACTAAGCCAAAGAGTGTCCGAAGTTGATGTCTTTTTCTTTTTTCCCCCTCCCATTACACTATACCCCCTCTTTTCCCCTTCCTCTCTTCTTTTCCAAGGTTTTTTCTTGATGTTTTATACTTCAATAAATTAATAAAAAAGTTAAATTGAAAAAAACCACTCATGAACATTCATGAAAATACTAGGGAAGCACTTCCAGGCATCAAGATGTAGATGATACACAAAGTAATTTCTACTTCTCCTGTCCCCAACAATAGGAAACCAAGATTACGCTTACCATAAAGTAGATTTAGCCTAACTATTCATCTCCTTTCTGCTATATTTGACAAAGGCCACATGAACTGCCGTGTGGCATTTTTTGAAATCAGAATTATACAACCACTAAGGAATTCCATAGATCTCCAAATCTTCGCTGAGAGATGGGCCTAGTTTGACTGATCACAAATTTAAATTTCTAATTCTAATCTCCTTGTTTTGTGCTTTGCTCAGCAATACCATATGCTGAGTCCCCAAAGGAAACTAGAGGTCTATTACTGCTCCACCATATAAACTGCTAATCTCTTCCTTCCCACCTGGGTTGGAAACCCAGCAGCTCTTTCAGCTTCACCAATAGAAGGAGACGATTCAGTGAACAATGGTGACTCCGTTTTGTCCACTGGGAAGGAGAGAGACAGAATGGAAACAGGAAAGGGTTCAACTTCATCTTTTCTAGCTTGAAGGCACAAATTAAGATTTCTTCTTGTCCTGCCCAAGAAACCTCAATTTTTGCCTCTTCTACACATTGCCTTTCATAGGCTCGATCATGGGAGCCAAGAATAAAAGGAAAAGACCAAACCCACCACACGCTGAAGAACAAACCTCAGTTAGATTGTTCTCCTAACCTTTTGGAACAACACATGGACGTATATACTCTTGGCAACCAAAGTGTTTCCTCAATCACTGTAAATTCTTCCCCACCCAACTCTGCAGTTTGAAACCAGGGAAATTATTCATATTCTAGCAACCCAGGAAACATGCCTGCAAGGACAGGTAGTACTGGAAATGGCCCATCAGGGATCTGTGTATGAATTTAGTCAAAACTATTACTTAAGGATGGCCCGAAACAAAGAAAAATCTTTCAGGATGGAGAAGGAGCCAGAATGCAAGTCCAAGTATTCCCTATAAGAGTCCACTTTCTACGAAAGGCAAACCATAGGCTTGATCTGAAGGGAGGGAAATCCTTTGTGCGACTTAAGTCTTCTAGCTTGAAGATATCTTTCCTTTTGGCTCACCTTCTACCAAATCCAACGACTAAGACGCAAGATACAGAGAATTAAGGATAACTAGAATCTCTCTAGAAAATCTCCACTCCAGTCTCCCCTTACCTTGTGAGGAATCCAGACCTTGACTTCTATCCTTGGAGATCCCTCTGAAAGACAGATCAGGAGAAAGTTTTGTGTGATCCACCCAATTACTCCCCATTCATGGAAGGACCTCGGAACCTGAAATATAAGCAAAGAAGAGCAGTTAAGAGGACAGGACAAAAGAGGATCTGAATGTTATTTTCTGACCAAAAAAACCCTTGTGTCCATCAGTGGTGATGGATGACACCCAGTAGGAGAACAGCTCCAAATGAGATACTCTTTGGAGGGAAGATAGAATAATTTCGTTAATGAGGTTCTCTAAATATTTATTGGCATTATTAATCTCCAAAACTCCATCAGCAAGAAATGGAAGAGTTTCCCCCCCAAAAAAGCTTCTCTGACCTGGGCTCCTTCCTGCTTCTTCTCTTCCCGCTCCCTCCCCTGGGGAGGATCTGAGTGGTGAAACCCACCACTTTCCCGCCCCCACCAGATTCCCAGAGAGCAACTCGCAGCCGGAACTACCCGAACCAGGCAGACGGAGTAGAGCATGCGCAGTAGACTAACCAGCTGGACCCCTGGGATGAAATCGTGGCTGTGGGGGCAACTTTGGAGGAATGGAGAGAGGCGGGGGCGGGGGGGGAAAGACTCAAACCGTCACAGCTTGAAGGAAAACAGATACGGGAAAAGTGGAAGGTTTCCTTGGAAGTAAAAGTGACATTCCCTTGTCAAGGGTGAGGGAATGGGAGGAAGCATTGATGCTCGAGCAGGCGGGGCGGGGAGAAGGTGACTGGTAACCCGCCCCGCCGGGAGAAGTTAGAGAAAAGGCTGAGGGCTAGAGGGGCGGGAGCTTGCGAGACTCCTCCCTTTTCATCTTGGCCACGCCCCTCCCTGTGCGATTCCTCTCAGACGGAGAAGAGGGAAAAAGTGGCTCCGAGCGGGGTGGGAGGAGCCTATTCCGGCGGGAAGAGCGGAGAGACAAGCGGTTCTGAAGGAAGCGCCGCCATCTTTGGGGTCCTCAGGGAGGGATTCGATTCCTCCTTTCTTTCGGTCAGACCGAATTGGGCCTCCTTCTTGGTCCCCTTTTCTCCCTCAGGTGGCCCCCTCCACTCCCCAGTGTCCCCCTCAGGATCTCTTTTCTGGCTCTCTGGTGCGAGTTCCCTAGGGGACTCTTTGGAATCACCCCGTCACTGAGGCAAATGAATCGGACGATCCCCAGATCCCCATATTGGATCCCCTTTCAAGGACTCGGCCTCCGCTTTCTCCAAAGACCCTTTAGAATAATGACTGTTTCTTTCGGGGCTTCATTTTTAAAGGGGAAAGAGTGGAATCGGTGGATCGACAATAAGGAATATATTGGACTTATTCTATTAATATATTATTTTTAATGATATTAAATGGGAAAGTAAATATAGATGCTGCCTGGACCTCTCTGCTCTGACTCAAATGCAACTCCTTAAAAGCCAAAAAATATCATCCAAGTTGTAGAAAGAGGCAAAAGACTGAAATTTTCTGGTTCCCCTTTTGAGTCCTCTGGTGTAAAAGAAGAGAAAGTTGGCCAAAACATGGATGCATGGATTATCTCCACAGATGTATAATTACATAATTAGGATGTTCTGCTCAAATTCCATATATTTACAAGGAGTGTAATGGTCTTCCCACATTAAAATAGGCTCTAGTTTCACCGCTTTGTTGCTGCTGTTATAGGTGGATCCTGCTTTAAGCATGCTTTCCTCATTTTCCATGGATATATGTGCATCATTCTCTATGCTGTGTGAAAATGAATCAGATCTGAACTCATTCCACTTTCTACCACTTTCTAACATTTTATTACACTCTTCCCCCCCATGAAAATCTCCATATTCATCTGATTTCTTCATTTTTTTTCTTCAATGCATATTAAGTAGGAAGCATTTACATTGCACAACAATTATAGTTCACAATAATTTATTATATTAACCTTGCAAGCCAATATAGTTAATAAGGACATACTAAGACATTTAAAAAGCTATGCTAAGATAAAAGGCACAAAGTCACAATCATACTGGCAAAGAAGTTGTTCCTAACTTGCAATGCCATGGCCCCTTAAAATTTCAAATTAGACTTTGACTAATCACCTTGATATCACAAAATCAAAATGGCACTAGTGACATTTTAAAACCTTGACCCAATAGAAAATATGGTTCTGCTTATTTACATGGAGAAATGAATAAATGAATAATTTAAATCAAGCAATTTAAGTCCCGCCTTTAAAAAAAAAAGACATTGCTCCTATGGTACAATGTTAGATCTATAAAACCATTTTTAAAGTAAAGAGGCATCAGGTGTGATCATAAACTGACGGTTATATTTCTCCTTTCAGCTGGGTTAATGCAAGTTTGCACCAGACAAATACAAGTCTAAGCAGGCATGTACATACAAATATTCAGAAATTTTTTTACTTCTAAATGAAACTTATGTACATATATGAAAAAAGAATCAACAGCTTATGTACCTTGTTACATGTTTAAAGAAGGTCAATAGTTTAAACACAATTACATTAACTCCACAAAGCCTGGAGCCTGAACAGACTTACTTCAGATGTTGCTTCTTGCCTAAATAAAGCAGCTTGACCAGACAGGTTTTGACAGATTTTTGACACAACAAATGCGACAATTTACATTATAAAGATCACACTTGGATTATTGCATCCAGTTTTGATATAAAAAAGATGTGGAGACTCTGGAAAGAGTAAAGAGAAGAGCAACAAAGATGACCAGAGCTAAAACATATGAAGAACAGTTGCAGGAATTGGATATGTTTAGTTTAATGAAATGAAGGACTAAGGTGACATTACAGCAGTGTTCAAATATGTGCCACAAAGAACAGAGCATAAAATAATAGGATGGGAAGAGACCTTGGAAGTCTAGTCCAGGGTCAACCCATTCTCCAGAGCACCTGAAACCAGGACAAGCAGCAATGGATGGAAACTAATCAACAAGAAAACCAAGATAGAACTTTCCTGACAACTTGTGTCCAGAAGTTGTAGGTGCTCCATCCGACATTGGAAGTTTTTAAGGAAACATTGAACATCCATTTGTCCAAAACAGTATTGGGTTTCCTGCTTGAGCAGGGATAGAAGATCCCTTCCAACTCTGTTATTGTTAATTTAATAATATATTCTCATGAGCCGAATCCGACTGTGGTAAAATGGTATTAAGATGGTATTAAGAAATCTATCTTGGAAGTTCTTTCCAAAATCCATCTTTTTATGCAGTTTCTCCTATGGTAGGCGATTCTCAAAAAAAGAGGATTGTTTACCTCAGGTGTCTTCCACAAGATCCTTATGGGAATTAACTTGATTTCTTCATATTAAGGTTTTTCCATACACTATGCGTGACTTTCCCCCTCTGGCTTTTTTCATAAGAGTACTGTTTTCACAAAACCCTTCTCCACTTCCAATACATTTCTACCGTTTTTCTCTTGTATGTACTCTTTTATGAGAATTTAGATGACTTTTCAACCGGAAGTACTTACCACACACTGTGCAATGATACAGCTTCTCCCCTGTGTGGATACTAACATGTTTAGTAAGAGAACCTCTCGTAACAAAACTCTTTCCACATTCATTGCATATATAGGGCTTCAACCCTGAATGGATCCTTTTATGACAAGTCAGGTGGCTGTTGTGACTGAAACTCTTCCCACATTCCATACATTTATACGGTTTCTCTCCTGTGTGGATCCTCTTATGGGAAGTAAGGGAATCACGATGACTAAAACTCTTTCCACATTCCAGGCATCTATAGGGTTTCTCTCCCGTGTGAATCCTTCTATGAGAAGTCAGGTGGCCATACCAATTGAAGGTCTTACCACAGTCCATGCATTTATAAGGTTTTTCCCCTGAATGGATCCTTTTATGATAAGCAAGGACACTGCTCTTACTGAAGCTCTTCCCACACTCCAGGCACTGATAGGGTTTTTCTCCCGAATGGAGCCTTTTATGATAATTAAAAGAACTGTTTACACTGAAGCTCTTTCCACATTCAGTACACTTAAAGGGTTTCTCTCCTGTATGGATCCTTTTGTGGGAAGCAAGATCACTGCTTCGGATGAAGCTCTTCCCACATTCTGTGCATTTATAGGGTTTTTCTCCCATATGGATCCTTTTATGATATCTAAGAGAACTGTTCATACTGAAGCTTTTTCCGCACTCAGCACACTTATAGGGTTTCTCTCCTGAGTGGATCCTTTTATGAGAGGTAAGGGAACTGTTCATACTGAAGCTTTTTCCACAATCCGTGCATCTATAGGGTTTTTCCCCGGTGTGCATTCTTTTATGAGAGGTCAGGTGATTGCTGTTGCTGAAGCTCTTTCCACACACTGTGCATGTAAAGGGTTTTTCTCCTGTGTGGATCCTTTTATGGGAAGTAAGCTGACTACTGTGGCTGAACCTCTTCCCACACTCTACGCACTGATACGGTTTCTCTCCTGTATGAACCCTTTGATGAGAAGTAAGGGAACTTTTCATACTAAAGCTTTTCCCACAGTCTTCGCATTTATAGGGTTTTTCTCCCGTGTGAATTCTTTGATGAGAGGTAAGGGAACTTTTCATACTAAAGCTTCTTCCACACTCCAAGCATTGAAAGGGTTTCTCTCCAGTATGGACCCTTGTATGAGAAGTAAGAGAACTGTTCATACTGAAGCTTTTCCCACACACTAAGCATTGGTAGGGTTTCTCTCCGGTGTGGATCCTTTTATGAGAAGTAAGAGAACTGTTCATACTGAAGCTTTTCCCACACTGCAGGCATTTATAGGGTTTCTCTCCCGTGTGAATCCTTTTGTGAGAAGTCAGGTGGCCATGCCAATTAAATGTCTTTCCACAGTCCGTGCATTTATAAGGCTTTTCCCCGGTATGGGTCCTTTGATGAGAAGTCAGATGGTCTCTGTTCCCGAAGCTTTTCCCACATTCCAGACATTTATAAGGTTTCTCTCCCGTATGAATCCTTTTATGCGACGTAAGGGAACTTTTCATACTGAAGCTTTTTCCGCAGTCTGTGCATTTATACGGTTTTTCTCCTGTGTGGATCCTTTTATGGATGGTCAGGTAACTGCTGCTGCTGAAGCTCTTTTCACACTCCAGGCATTTATAGGGTTTTTCTCCCATACGGGTCTTTTTATGGGGAATAACGTTGCTATTGTTGCTATAGCTCTTTTTAATTTCAAAGTCATTACTAATCGCAGATTTTCCTTTTAATATTTCCCCACTCCTTTGAGCGTTGTGCATGTTCCTTTTCTTGACAATGCACTGGGTCAGGAAGTGATCCGTTTCTGCATGCTGAAGAGTGAATATTTCATTGCCATTGTAAGTTTGGTTTTTTTCATATTTCCTCATTCCCCACTTGTCTGCAGATGTTTCTTCTGGCATTTCAATTTTTATTATTTGCAATGGCACCAGATTTGTCTCTTCGTAATTCTCATTCTTCTGCTCATCAACAGCTTGGGGGGGTAGGGGAGAAAGAAAATCAGAAATATCAGATGTCCGATGACAGAATATACATATCATTGCAAAATATCTTGTGAACTCTTAAGTTTCCTCTTTTCACTATGCATTCAAAATGGACAGTGATATATTTATTTATTTATTATGGGTGCAGGTATACGTGTATGTATATAGCATGTGTATATGTGTATTATGTATGTGTGTATGGGTAGATATATACTTGCTCTTGGGATCAGGCAACAGAATTTAATGTTTAATGTAAGCCAGTATACTCTCAGTAAAATATGACAATAAAAGTTATCTTAAATCTTAAAATAATTGTAGGAGAAGATGTGGTGATAAGGACAATTGAAATAAGCATAAACATCTATACAGTTTTCTCAAGGTGTAAACAAGCTAATGACTCCTTACTCTGACTTAAATTTTCTTCCAGAGGAACCCTTACCTAAAGAGGCTATGACTCTACATGTCTCCACCATGACTTCTCGGTGCAAGGTTTTCTGTCTGGAATTGAGCAGCAACCACTCTTCGCTGGTGAAATGAACGTCCACTTCCTCAAAGGACACAGGACCCTGAACAAGGAAGAATTCCTGTGAGCAGACTCAGGAAAAAATTGCAAGATTTCCTTTAATCTGCAAATCCTAAAAACACAGTGTTATGCTTAGGTGGACATTTCCCTGGCTGAGCTCAAGATGTTATGCGATATCACCAATCCCGCATCTCTCTTTTTATCTGTGTGTAAGTAATTTACACTAAAAGGTGTAAGTTGTAACTTTCATTAAAAATCCACAACATAAACAATCCATAAAGGGGTCCGCCAGCCCCTTTAACTCTTTCCTGGACAAAAAGCTGGGAAGAGGCTACTTTGAAATGACTTCTGTAATGCATCCCAAACCAACACTGATTAAAGCTTTTAAAAGCCAAGTTGGAGTCAGGGGTGTCTTTGTTCTTTATCCATTTTGGATGATCTCCTTAAAGCCCAGAAGAAAAAGCCATTCAATTTTGAAAAGAAGGAATAACAGTGTAGATCTTTTATTCCACTGTCTTTTTGTAAATTAGGTTCGCAACCTCCTTACGGCCTTCCCAAAATGATCAAGGATGGCACTATCCTTTGCTTGTTTTAAAATGTGAACTATCATTTTTAAGTCCAACCACGTATTATCACTAAAGAATCCAACACATTTCCAAAACAATCTAGAGAGACAGACCAAGTGTGACCGATCTCCTAATCTGAATCCTAATTTCCCCATCCCACGCTGCTCAGGAACAGCAGTATCATATGCTTAGACGCCAAAGCAGTCTTCAACTGCTCCCCCATATTAGCCCCAGATCTTTTCCTTCCTACCTGAGCTGAAAGTTCACCTGCTCTTTTAGCTCCACCAGCACACAGAGAGGAACCAATGAAGAACGGTGACTCCATTTTGTTCCCTGGGATAAAAACAAGAACGGGATTAACTACATTTTTTGAGCTTGAAAGCATGACTTACTATTTCCTCTTGTCCCAGGGAGGCAGCCTCTACCTCTCACTCCTATGTTTTGCCTCCATATTGAGAGTCAATAAAAGAAGCCCACAGCCCCAATACACACTGGAGAACAAACCACAAGTGGATTGCTTTCCTAACCTATTGGGAAGGAAGGAGACAAGGAAGTATACTCTTGGCAAACAAAGCATTCACTCAAGCAACGTTTATTCTCTCCCCATCACCTACAACCTGAAACCATGTTGTTCTGGTATCCCAGAAAGACAAACCATTCTGGCAACAACCATTCAACTGAAATTCTGGCACCCCAGGAACATGCAAGGACAGATGGTCTTGTAGATGATCCAGCAAGGATCTGCAACAGAATTCACTCAAAATTATCTATCAAGACTGATTGCCCCAATCCCCACCAGTGAGAACCAAGAAAAATATCTCAGGATGGAGGATCCAGAATCCAACACAGGGCGATCCCCAGATGAGTCAGTCTTTCGCAAAAGGGGAATTATGGAAAAGGAGTCTATGAACTGAAGGGAGGGACTTTGTTCATGAAACTGAAGCCTTCTAGCTTGAAGAGGGAGAGTTAAAGCTTTTTGGGCGGGTCATCTTCTAATAAGTCCAACAACTAGACATGAGAAGACACAGAGAATTAAGAACAGCTAGAAGCTCTCTGGAAAACCTCTAAACATGTAGAGCATTGCCTTACCTGGTGAGACATCTTGACATCGATGTTTTCCCTTGGAGATCCCTCTCAAATATGACTTCTGAGTAGGGTTTGTGGGATCCACCCTTTCTTCAGGATAATTAATCCCCACCTCCAGGAAGGATCTTAGAACCTGAAATATTTGTGAAGAAGAATTAACAGGGCAAGAGATAAAGAGGATCTGGATTTTCATTTTGTGCCCACAATGTTGCGTGTCCTCAGTGTCCATCATTAAGGATAAAAAAGGATAGCGGAAGAATTGCTCCAAATGTGTCCTCTGGAACACTTTCCTTGATGATCTCTAAATATCTGGTTGTGTCTATCTATATATATAAAAACGAAATACCACTCACGCATCATCACAAAATATCCAGAACCGTAAAGCCTATAAACTTGAAATCTGGCACGTATGTTCCTCTTGGCTTCTAGGTGCTCATTGAGAAAGGATTTTTCAAAATGACCATCAGAGCATTAGTATTTCGTTTATTATTATTATTATTATTATTATTATTATTATTATTATTATTATT